AGCACGAGCGAGTGTTATCAAACAATTCACTGAGCATCAGACTACGAGAATATCTTGCGTACATCCTCGCCACCGCTCCTACAGGAAACTGCAAGAACTAAGTCACCGCAAGATGCTGCGTTCCTTCACTTATTGCGTCAACCGTTTTGAGCTTTGCCACGAGCTTTCCTGGATGCTGACTGCCGTGCCCCTGCATGAAGTATCTGCAGAACAGAGGATGTGTTGTTTCGGGCGCTCGCCGAACACCTTTACACACGGGCCCTAAGCCGGACCAAGAGTAGAACCCCCAAGCGCGTTGACGGCCGCCAACGGCGTCACGGCGTCAACGGCGTCCAGGGCTTCAACAGTGTCAACCAAAGTTACGCATTGCGTATGGACATCTCTGGTCCCCGAGCACCTTATCACTATTTATTGCTACCTTACACTAGCATGGACTCGTAGAGCTTTATTCGAAGACGCTGAAGACGCTGAAGCCCCTCCCAAGCCCTGAAAACTCAAACCAGAAACCCTGAAACCCCTAAAGCATATAGCACTCGAATAGTAACCCTCATAACCCTCATAGTGAGCTTGCAGAAACCCCTGTAACACCAGCCCTTACAAACAGTAGCGGCCCGACTCTTGCGTCATCCGCATGCCCCGTCAGCTAGAGAATGGGGACCCTAGCACACACCACCCTGAATCAGAATCTGACGACTTTCCGGGGATGGCCCTAGTTCCACTAACTCCTAGAGGTCTTACACTATCTTACACTTGAGGGCGTGAGTAGATTGATGCTCCAACTTTCTGGCTTCTTTGAGCGCGGGAAGAGGCCTCAGCTACGAGAGCGTCTTGGCCTTCAACCAGGCCCAGGCCGGTGCTGGGCACTGCAACAGCTTTCGGTGTAGGGATGCTGCATTGATTGCTGCGGTAGCCAGGCAATATCTTAAGGGGTTTCTCTGCATACTTATGTCAACTCTCTATAAGTATTTTGGTTTGCAGGCTTGACAGGTTGTGCTGCAGTAGGGTTTTCGAGAATCGGATGGCGGGGTTTCATGATTTGGATGCTAGCCAAGGCTTGCTCATGCGTCGTTCCCAAGCGCTTTATCACATATGCTGTGGTCGCCCCAAATCCAAAAGCTCGCCCGGAAGCCGAAAGAGAGTCTTCGCCAAACCTTTCGAGAGCTCGCTTGAGATGCAGCACATGCTGCAGCCGTTTTGCAAAGACTCGAAGCCTAGAGTGCCTCACTGCGATCTTGTTCCAAGCACGACAGCAGACATGGCCATCTCTCGGGTGCTCGCAGTCTTCTACGCAGCAGCAGCTTTGTTGGCTACTTTGGCCAGTGGCACCGAGACAGTGACCACTACCACCACGATGTCCATGACCGCCACGATGACGACCTCCGTTACCATGACCATGACGCACACGATGACCAGCACGATGACGGATACAATGACAACAACGACGGACCCCAACGCCACGACGACCATGGACTCAAACGAGACGACCACGAATCTTGGCGTGTGTGTGTGTGTGTGTGTGTGCGTGTTTTTTCAACAACCTTTGTGGACAAATGTCACAGCAATACTCCAGAAGGCAGGATCAGAGGAATGTTGTCAGTATTTTGTTGCAGCGAGCTTTTGACTACTAAATTTGATGAAGTAAACGTTTACAAAACGTTTACATAATCAACTAGTTACCTAAGCAAGCATGCAGGCAAGTAAGTTAGCATATGTATTCATGTACGTACGCACGTATGTATGTAAGTCCGTAAGTTCGTAAGTGCTTAAGTAAGTACGCAAGCAAGCAAGCAAGTAAGTGAATGTATTGTATGGTATGGTATGGTCGGTATGTCTCTATATGTGTGTGTATGTTTGTGTATGTATGTATGTATGTATGTAGGTAGGTAGGTAGGTAGGTAGGTAGGTCGGTAGGTAGGTAGGTCGGTCGGTCGGTAGGTAGGCAGGTAGGTAGGTAGGTTGGTGGTTGTTTAGCATGTAGGTAGGTAGGTAGGTAGGTAGGTAGGTAGGTAGGTAGGTAGGTAGGTAGGTAGGTAGGTAGGTGTGTCTGTATGTGTGTCTGTGTGTTTGTGTGTATGTGTGTATGCGCGTATGCGTGTGCGTGTGTGCGTGCATGTGTATATGCATGTACGTATGTATGTATGTATGTATGTATGTATGTATGTAATGTATGTATGTATAAGTGTCTCGGC